TGCTAAGCACTTTGCTATAACACAGTCTAACAAGATTTAAAACTGACACAAAGGCATCATAACATACATTTTTTATAATATTTACAAATGAACAGACTGAATGATGGTCTATTCTCCATTACAGTATGACATTCCACAAATCTAAATACCAACCACACATTTCCAAATGCAGATTTGTATAAGAGTTCACAATTCTGCAAACTCAAATTCCTTTTCCACTAGTATTCAATGTTATTTCCTAGTTTTGATTTAATGTATTGGGCTCAGCAAACTATGACTATTAATTTCTTAAGACAATAGTAATAAGATAAGAATTGTGCCCTACTTGTTCACACAATTTAAATTCCTGTAACTTATATTTATGGGGCATGCTAAATGATGAAGTGTATGAATAATCCTCATCCACTACAAGAAATTAAAGAAAATATTCATAAACTATTCAAAAACAACTTTGCTGCGTCTAGGAACATTTTTTTTTCAAGACATGAAACATGCACAGAAGCAGAAGGCAGGTACTGGAGACTCTACTCTGATTGCAGGTCATACTGTAGGGGGAAAACAGGCGATGAACAATTGGCTTCTCTTGCAGGAAGCCTGCCATTAACACCACATGAAACCTAGACATCCAATTGCAAAACCTATAATAAATAAAATATGTGCAGAAAGTACAATAATTAAGTACTATGTAAGTTATCTTGCACCACAACATCCTAAGTTCAGGTCAATCTAAATAAAGTTAATTTACATCCTTATTCCTTTGAAGTCAAAGCTCAGCTAATAATATTGAAGCATTCAGTCCCTACCTGCAAGAAAACCCAGTATAATAATCAAGTGGTTAATTGCTGTATACAGAAATAATTACTGTTTAATTCCAGAACCACATAAAACCCATAAACACACTCTGTTGGCAAAATGCAGTTCATAAGTGTTAAAACAGGTGGAACATATAATTATCAAAGGTTAAAAACATTAAATTTCTTACTACTAGTCATTAGGAGTAAAATTATTAGCAGTTATGGCTGTGTTACCTCTATAGAAATATGCAGTAGTCATTACCAAGCAAACTTCGCAAATATATATTTCTGAATATTCAAGTTCATGTAACTTTGTTCTATTTCATACAAACTAACCTAACCTCAATCTAAAGTATTTATTTATGAATATCCAAGATCAAGTAACTTTGTTCTCAAGTCAAACTAACTTAACCTCACTCCAGACTTTCATGTGTAAGAAATATGATGTGAACACTGAACAAATGTTTGCATATCATCACATACCTAGTTCAAACATTGTGTTAATATTTTACATTTAAATTTTCGTTGCATCAAAGATTAAAATTTTCTGACTCAAGCTGTTGCGTTAATATCTTACTGAATATAAAACCAAACTTACCTGTGTGCTTGTTTGGCCATCAGGTGGGTCCACTACTATACCTTGGCCTCTCGTGGCTATGGTCATGGCTAACTATGATACGTTGTCAATTAAGCCACAGCAATAACATTAAATCTATGGAATCTCGAGAGTGGTACGCTGTATACTTCATAAAGAATTCTTGTTACACACTAACTACATTATCTGAAATAGGAAAAATATATGTAGTTAGTTCTGATTCCTGCAACTACATCAATTTTAAAAACCCAGCACTGCGGCTTTGTATATACATATCGCACATGAAGCCATAATGCTTAATTTTAAGTTATCCATGCTTTGCGTCCCCTCTTTTTCAAAAGACTATTTATTATTAAAAATCCTGGTGGGGCACTCCTGCCTTCCAAACGAAGGAGGTCCTTGCAAAATTTCAAACCTTGTTTACATTCCTTCACACAGTAGCAAATACCACTCAAACAAATACCGAAACAGTAATATCAATAGATTAACACGAAAACAACCACATATAGTAATGATTACTGGAGTATTAAATAGTGAAAAATCCTCGATCATCAGCCGGGCTACATACAAAATGGCGACTGTTCGCAATGATTAGTTCGAAGAATTAAAGAGGTCCAGTTTTATACTTGTATAACATTTCTTGCAATACTTAATATTTTATACGAAACCCTTGACAGTGTGTTACTATTTCTAAAGTTACAAAACAGCAATATATCTTACACAATAAGTGTACTAGGAACGAAACCTCTTTGACGTAAGATTTGCATGCACTGTGTAAACACGACTGCGCGACTCACCGGTGACATGGGCGTATGAATACTTTATATATGTAAATCTTTAAACATATTAAGTTATAAGCTGTAAAACCATTCTAATTGAAAAAAAAGTATGATTTTTAATTTCACTGCCCCATACGAAATACACTGCATTAAATTTAATCAAGAGAAATGCAGACACCATGTACTATTTTTCTCAAAATATCAGCTGGGTAATGTACATATTTACCTCGTGTGGGCATCTAAAAAAATTGTGAAGTTAGTTTCGCGTGATGGTTTTAACTGTACAAAATATAGTTTTTGACCATTGAAACGTGAGTTTGTCGGAAGTGAACACTGTATTAGCAGTTCCATGTAAAAATTA